TGGCCCGGCCCGGCCCGGCCCGGCCCGGCCCGGCCCGGCCCGGCCCGGCCCCTCCCCTCCGGCCGGGGACCCCCGAGCAGGGCCCAGAGCCTCCCTTCCTCCAGGCTGAGACCCCCACCCTGCTCCCTCAGCCGCTCCCGGGCTCCGTTCCCCTCCCTGGACGCCTCCGTGTCTGTGTTGCAGTGAGGGGCCCAAGCCGGGCCCCGGCCTTGCGGGCGGTGCCGCCTGAGCAGCCATTGCCCGCTGTGGCTTGTGTTCACTACTGTCCACCAGCCCCTCTGGATCCCTTTCCACTGGGAAAATACGAGAATTTGGGGCTTTTTTTTCCTTGCTTTTCTCTCATTCTGCAAACGGCAGCATTTTCCCCGTGTTTCCTTTGAGAGCCGACCCCCGCGCCCATCACAGCCTGCCGCCTCAGCGGGTTCCTCCTCCTCCACCACAACAAGAGGCTGCCGAGCAAGGCCAGGCAAACAGCTGCTGATAACACAACTTCCAGGTTGCTCTTCCCAAGGCCGGGCCCGGGGCCGTTGAACGCCGGGCCCAGACGAGCGCCCCGTGTTTGTCTGTGAACCCTGGCAGCGACACCTGCCCCACGGGGCCTTGGTGCCATGGTACAGCCCGGGCTAATGACCCTGTTTATCCTGTTTGGGTAATCCTGATAAGGCCACACAACCCCTCCCCGCCGGTTCATTGAGAAAAACGGCCCAGCAACAACGGGGTTGGTCGGGTGGTTTTAATGAGGGCTGCTTAATCAGGGCGGTCAAGGCTGCCGAGGGGTGTTCACTGTGACCCGGCCTTATAAGAGCAGGCTGGAGCAGCCACGGGCTGGCAGAGCCAGCAGGACAATCCACCCCGCGGCACATTTGGGAAGGGGTTTTGCCCTCTCTCCACCGTTTGGACGAGGAGCCATGAGCGGCAGCGTGCAGGCGGGCTGCGAGAGGTGCCAGTGCCACGGCCAGGACCGGCGGCCCGGCGCCATCCTGTACACCCTGCTGAGCCAGGAGCTGCGGCCCGGCGCGGCCCGGCAGCGCTGCCCGTGCCGCCAGCGCCGCGCCGTGTGCCTGCGCACGCCGCAGCTCACCTGCCGCGCCGCCTCCCACGTGCTGCTCAAGACCATCAGCTTCGTCAAAAACGTCGCCGCCTTCCAGCTGCTGCCGCGGGAGGACCAGCTGCTGCTGCTGGACAGCTGCTGGGTGCCGCTGTTCCTGCTGGGGCTGGTGCAGGAGATGGTGACCTTCGAGGTGATGGAGGCGCCGGCGCCCAGCATGCTCAAGAAGATCCTCCTCAGCGGCCAGAGCAAAGGGCAGGAGCCTGAGGGGACGCAGCCCACGCTGGCGGCCGTGCAGCAGCTGCAGTGGTGCCTCAACAGCTTCTGGAGGCTGAACCTGAGCCCCAGCGAGTTCACCTACCTGAGGGGGGCCATTCTCTTCAGTCCAGGTGAGTGCCAGGCCCTCGTGGCAGCTGGGCACAGAATCGGGGCGTCCCGGAGGCACGGAGGTGGGAAAAGATCCCCAAGGCCATGGAGTCCACCCTGTGCCACTCCCCACCTTGTCACCAGAGCGCTGCGTGCCACATCCAGGGATCACCTTCCCAGGTGAACACAGACCTCGTGGCCTGGAGGTGCTCAGAGAGGGCTGGGCACCTTTTCCCTAACTCTGGTCATTCCCAAATGCACTGGGTAGCAGCAAGGGAGGATGTCAAAACCTTTACCCACCCTGCAGACAATAAATCCCGGATTCCTTTACCTTTAAAGCATGTTTTTCCCTGTTAAGTGCTTTCCCTCCTCACACAGCATCCCTGAACAGCTGCACCTCACTCAGAGATCCCCCCTGACAAACGGGGGAGGGAGGGAATGGCAGAACCCAGGAGCTGTTTCCATCCCTGACCTTCCTCTCCCTGTGCTGTCCCCGCAGACACGCCGGGGCTGAGGGCTGCCCTGCACATCGAGAGCCTGCAGTGGGAGGCGCAGCGGGCGCTGCGGGAGCTGCAGCAGCCCGAGCAGCAGGCGCGCTTCTCGCACATCCTGCGCCTCACCGCGTCCCTGCGCTGCGTGCCCGCCGCCCTGGTCACCGCGCTGTTCTTCCAGCCCCTCATCGGGGCCGCGGCCATGGGCGAGCTGCTGGCCGAGATGCTGTTCGAGGTGACGGGCTGGCCAAGGGGCTGGCCCCTGCCCCGCTGAGCAGCTGCACCGGGCACGGACGGGCCCTGCGGGACCTGTGTGCCACCCGGAGGAACGGGCCCTGAGAGATCTGTGTGTGCCACAGGACAGGAACAGACCCTGCAAGACCTCTCTGTGCCACCGGGCCCTGCGGGACCTGTGTGTGCCACCGGGCCCTGCAGGATCTGTGTGCCACCGGGAGGAATGGACCCTGAGAGATCTGTGTGTGCCACGGGACAGGAACAGACCCTGCGGGATCTCTGTGCCACCGGGCCCTGCGGGACCTGTGTGCCACCTGGAGGAACGGGCCCTGCGGGATCTGTGTGCCACCAGACACGAACAGACCCCGAGAGACCTCTCTGTGCCACCGGGCCCTGCGGGACCTGTGTGCCACCAGGAGGAACGGGCCCTGTGGGACTTGTGTGCCACCGGGCAGGAACAGGCCCTGTAGGGTCTCTGTGCCACCGGGCAAGAACGGACCCTGCGAGACCTCTCTGTGCCACCGGGCACGAACGGGCCCTGCGGGACCTCTCTGTGCCACCAGGAGGAACGGACCCTGAGAGATCTGTGTGCCACCGAGAGGAACGGGCCCTTCAGGGTCTGTGCGTGCCATGGGACAGGAACGGGCCCTGCGGGGTCTCTGTGTGACACGGGACAGGAACGGGCCCTGTGGGGTCTCTGTGTGACACGGGACAGGAACGGGCCCTGTGGGGTCTCTCTGTGTGACACGGGACAGGAAGATCTGTGTGCCACCGGGAGGAACGGGCCCTGAGAGATCTGTGTGCCACAGGACAGGAACAGACCCTGCGAGACCTCTCTGTGCCACCGGGCACGAACGGGCCCTGCGGGACCTGTGTGCCACGGGACAGGAACAGACCCTGAGACTCTGTGTGACACGGGACAGGAACGGGCCCTGCAGGGTCTCTGTGTGACACGGGACAGGCAGCTGTGGCTCAGCACGTTCACAGCAGCGCCTGGGCTGCTCTGCAGTCCAGGGAGTGTGAGTGGGCAAAGGGTTTGCTGCCCTGCTGCCAGGTTTTACTCCTCTGGCTGTGAGCAGTGAGGGCTGTCCTCAGCCTGGTGCCGTGGTGCCTGATCGCTGATGAGGGCTGGTTATGGGATCAGCTCTGGGTCTGGCTCCCCTGCTTGGAATCTCAGAAATGCTCAGGACATTTCTTCAGTCAGACTGTGAAATCCTACAGGCTGTACAGACTCACCCCTCTTGTCCTTAGAGTCTCTCTTTCCTCCATAATTCCATGAAATACAACAGGATTAAGAGCACTTAGCAGCTCCTAAACCTGCTGCACCTCCTCTGGGCTCTCCTGTCTGTGTGAAAAGTTAAACCCGAGCAGAGCTGGTTTAGTGGAGATCCAAACCTCCCTCCCTGGAGATGCAGCCAGGTGCACCCCTGGAAAACTCGCTCCTCCTGCCTCCAGCAGGTGAGGTGTCAGTATTTTATAGGCGTACATTTGCATGGTTTGTATATAAGATGCAATAAATTATTTTTTTAATAAAATGCTTGGTGTTTTGGAACGCGGTGGTGCCTTTTTAGCAACGGTGCTGAATTTGGGGTGGGCAGAAAAAACTGCAGGCATGGAAAGGATGGAATGGAATGGAATAAAAAGGGATTTTCCATAAAGATCCGTCCGGCCATGCAGACAGGTTGGCTGCTGTCAGTGGGAGTGTTGGGTGAGCAGCCCCTGGGTGCTCCCAGCACACAGAAATTCCAGCGGTAAATCCCCACTACACCTTTCCCCAGGTGTGAATGCAGGTGCTGAGCCTCTCCCGAGGGCGCTGCCAGCTGCTGCGCCTCAGCCAGCAAACAAACCCCATCTCCATGGCTGGCACAGCTGAGTGTCCCCACGGGGACAGGGGACAGCTGAACGGGGACACCAGAGCCCTGGGTGGGGTGAGCACGGCAGCCCGGAGAGCACTGAGACCCCCGGGGCTGTGACCCCCGAGCCCTGAGACCCCCGGGGCTGTGACCCCAGAGCCCTGAGACCCCCAGGCTGTGACCCCCGAGCCCTGAGACCCCCGGGGATGTGACCCCAGAGTCTGTGACCCCAGAGCCCTAAGACCCCCAGGGGCCTAGCCAAACCCTGCTGCCCCCTGTGCCTGTTAAACCCCCCACAATGGGGGATCTTGATCCCCACCCCTGTGTCCCCCCAGGGTCTCTGTCCCCTGTGTCCCCCCAGGGTCTCTGTCCCCCGTGTCCCCCCAGGGTCTCTGTCCCCTGTGCCCCCCCAGGGTCTCTGTCCCCACCCCCTGTGCCCCCCCAGGGTCTCTGTTCCCTGGGACCCCCAGGACGCCCCCCCTGCCGCGCACTCCCCGGCCACCAGGCGGCGCCCTCCACCCGCCGCGTCATCCCCGCGCGCCGCGTCATCACCGCGCTGACGTCATCCCCGCGCGCCAAGATGGCGGCGCCCAGCGGCAGCGGCAGCGATGGCGGCGCGGCCCGGTACTGCCTGGTGAGCGGCATCCCGGCCTCGCTCCGCTCCGCGCACCTCCGCGCCTACTTCAGCCAGTTCCTGGAGGCCGACGGCTTCCTCTGCTTCCACTACCGGCACCGCCCCGAGCGCCCGCCAGCCCCCACCCCCCGTGTCCCCCCAGGGTCTCTGTCCCCCGTGTCCCCCCAGGGTCTCTGTCCCCTGTGCCCCCCCAGGACGCCCCCTCTGCCGCGCACTCCCCGGCCACCAGGCGGCGCCCTCCACCCGCCGCGTCATCCCCGCGCGCCGCGTCATCACCGCGCTGACGTCATCCCCGCGCGCCAAGATGGCGGCGCCCAGCGGCAGCGATGGCGGCGCGGCCCGGTACTGCCTGGTGAGCGGCATCCCGGCCTCGCTCCGCTCCGCGCACCTCCGCGCCTACTTCAGCCAGTTCCTGGAGGCCGACGGCTTCCTCTGCTTCCACTACCGGCACCGCCCCGAGCGCCCGCCAGCGGGCGACGGCGGCGGGGCCTCGGCGCCGCGCACCTGCTCCTGCCCGGTGGCCGTGCGGCCCGGCCGGGCCCGCCGCTTCGTCCGCATGTACTCGGGAAAACGCTGGGTCGGGCCCGGCGGCGCCACGCTGCCCGGCCGCTGCCTCGTCCGCAGGGTCCGCCTGAGCCCCGGCACAGGTACGGGCGGGGTCCCTCGGGGCTCCGGCTGGGGGAGCCCTGGGGGGCTTCCGTAACGCCTTCAGTCCGCTGCGGGGCAGGGAGAGCCGGGTGGGCTCTGTTATCCCCCTCCGACCCGTGAGCGCCTGGATTTACCCATCCCCGGGGGGGTGGGGGCCCCCCAAACCATCCCTGCCCTCCTGTGGGACCCCCCAAACCATCCCTGCTCTCTCCCTTGCCCCCTGCAGCCCCCCAAACCATCCTTTCTGTGTCCCCCCCCCGCAGCGGCTCCTCCCGAGGGCCAGGACGGGGCTGGCACCGCCCCTGTCACCGAGGCGGAGCTGAAGCGGCTGCCCGAGTTCAACCCGCCCTCCTTCATGCCCCGCGGCAACGTGGGCACCCCCCTGGGCGTGTTCCTGGAGCTGATCCGCGCCTGCAGGCTGCCCCCCCGCGTCATCGGCAAGCTGCAGCTGCATTTCCCCCGCACGGGCTCCTCCCGCCGCTACGGCAGCGTGCCCTTCCAGTACCCGGGCACCCAGGCCCTGCCCGGGCAGGGAGGAGTCTACACGGCCGCGGGGGATGAGATCACCGAGGCGCAGCAGCCCGTGGGGCTGACTCAGCCAGCCCGGCCCCAGGAGGATGAGGAGGGGCAGGAGCAGGAGGAAGAGGAGCAGAACTCGGGTGACGTAAGTGGAACGTTCCAGTCCCCTCTCAGAGCTCCTTTTTCATCTCTCACCTGGACAGACGGCTGGTTAAAAGCAGCTTAAAATGGGATTGTTCACCCCTCTGAGCCCCCCAGAGCTGCTCGGGGTGGTCCCACGGGCTCTGACCCCAGGGGGAGCAGGGAGGAGGCTGGTGCTGCCTGGCACAGGGATATCCTGGCTCCCAGCTCTGCTGTGCTGGGAGATGGGCTGGCACGGGCTGGGCACCACGTTTCTGTGCTGGGGTGACGTGCAGAGCTGCACAAAGGGCTGACCCTGCACGCTCCTGCACTGGGGGTTAGTCACTCTGGGGAAAATGGCTTTGGTGACAAAGGCTCCTGGAGAGCTGGGCAGGGCAGGAGCCGTCCCAGACGCCTGTCTGGCCTGTTCTCCCACACCTCTGTCATTCCAGGTCCCCAGGCAAGCCATTCCCGTTCTGTCCTGCACCAGAATTAACTCAGGTGCCAATCTCTGCTGCAATTGCACCCCTTTAGTTTCTCCTGGCAGTGTGGGGCACAGAGAGCCCTTTGTTCCCTCCTTTTCCCAGCTTTTCATTCAGCCTTTCCTTCTCCAGACTAAACAGACTGCTCCAGCTATTTCTCCCAGGCTGTTTCCTGCTCTGCAGCCATGCTTTTGGCTGGGTAGTGGCTGTGCCCAGGACGGGGCAGGCAGCTCTGGGCTGTGCCAGGGAGCTGCTTCCTGAGCCCACGCAATCTCCTGGGGGATCAGCTGCAGTGCAATGAATTCCTGCTGCTGCTGAGTGCAGGTCCAGCACAGCTGCTCCTTAAATGGGCATCAGCAGGGCCGGGGCTGGGCGTGCTGTGGGATTGCTGTGGGATTGCTGTGGGATTGCTGTGGGATTGCTGTGGGATTGCTGCTGCTGACTCTGGCACGGCTCTGAGTCAGCCATGAGCTCATCCCTCCTGTCGGGGCCTGAGCGCTGCTGCTCCAGGGGAGGGCGTTGGCGAGGGCCAGGGAGCACGAGGGGCTGAGCTGTCCCTGTCCCCAGCTGCATCCTGGGCTGAGCTGTCCCTGTCCCCAGCTGCAGCCCTGTCCCCAGATTGTCCCTGCAGGACAGTGACACGTGCGAGGAGTGGCAGTGGGGAGGGGAGGGGGCTGTGCTGTGTCCCAGCCCTGTGCCAGCCCCTCCTCTGTCCCCCAGGACGATGACCCTTGTGAGGAGGGGGCTGTGCTGTGTCCCCAGTCCCATCCCCTGCCCTGCCCTGTCCCCTCAGGACGATGACACGTGTGAGGAGGGGGCTGTGCTGTGTCCCCATCCCCTCCTCTGTCCCCCCAGGACGATGACACGTGCGAGGAGGGGGCTGTGCTGTGTCCCCAGCCCCTCCTCTGTCCCCCAGGACGATGACACGTGCGAGGAGTGGCAGCGGCACGCGGCGCTGCACGAGGACGTGACGCAGCAGGAGCGGGCGCGGGAGCGGCTCTTCGAGGAGGAGATCGAGCTCAAGTGGGAGAAGGGCGGCTCCGGCCTCGTGTTCTACACGGATGCCCAGTTCTGGCAGGAGCAGGAAGGAGGTGACCTCCGTGTTTGTGTCACTGGGCTGAGACAAAGTGTCCGGGCCACCTGGAGCCACCAGCGCCGTGCCCTGGCTGCCGAGCCGTGCCTTGGGCACGAAGCTGAGACCCCCGTGGTGCTGCTGCAGCCCCTTGGGTGGGCAGGGGGGTCTGGGGGGTCTCTAATGCCATCTCCTCTGTGCTGGCACTGCTGAGGCACCACCCCGAGTGCAGAGCTGTGTCCAGTTCTGCTGCAGAGACGTGGAGGGGCTGGGGAGTGCCCAGGGCAGGGGCTGGAGCTGGGGAAGGGGCTCAGCCTGGAGAAAAAGGGGATCAGGGGGGCACTTGTGGCTCTGCACAGCTCCTGACAGGAGGGGACAGCCGGGTTTGTCGGGCTGTGCTCCAGGGAACAGGGACAGGAGGAGAGGGAACGGCCTCAGGCTGGGCCAGGGCAGCTCAGGGTGGAATTTCCCCATGGAAAAGGGTGTCAGGCACATGGAAGTGGAGTCCCCATCCCTGGACGTGTCCAAGGAAGGACTGGACATGGCACTCAGTGGTCTGGGCTGGTGACAAGGTGGGAACTGGTCACATCTGGACAGAATGGTCTTGGAGATCTCCAGCCTCAATGATCCTGTGATTCCTTCCCATTTTGTTGGAGAAAACAGGGAGCTGGGCCCCCAGCAAAGAGCTGCCCTGTGCCAGAGCTCACCAAAAGTGCTGCTTCCCCTCTCTTTCAGACTTTGACGAGCAGACAGCCGACGACTGGGACGTGGACATGAGCATCTACTATGACAAAGGTACCAGAGCTGAGCCACCCACCCCGGGGAGAGCAGGGAAGTTCTGAGCGTGCAGAATTCAGGAGCTCTTTGTCATTCTTTGAAAGCACCCAAGCTCTCAGTGAACCTGAAACGATGTTTTTCTGGTCTGGCAGCAAGGCTTGCCAAAAAGAACAGGTTCTGCCTCCTGTGCTGGCGCTCTGGGGAGCACGCTGGTGGTGCCCAGCCTCGCTGGGCTGTGCTGACTGTGGCTTTGTCCCCAGATGGAGGGGACAAGGACGCGCGGGACTCGGTGCGGATGTGGCTGGAGCAGCGGCTGCGGGACGGGCTGGAGGATGGCTCCGTGTCAGGGCAGCACATTGGCACCTTCGAGAGGCACACCAGGGTGAGCTCTGCCCTCCTCAGGCCAGGAGGGGCTGGGGGTGCCCTCAGGGCGGGGGTCAGGAGGAGGAGGAGACGTCTGGGCTGTGGGAGGAGGGCAGAAGGCTCTGGAAGATGAGGGTGGGATTTGTCCAGCAGGTCTCTGATGGTTCTTTCCCTTCTCCCAGGGCTTTGGCAGGAAGGTTCTGGAGCAGCAGGGCTGGACAGAGGGGCTGGGCCTGGGGAGCAGCAACTCTGGCATGGCTGAAGCTCTGGACAACGAGGGCCAGAACCCCCGGTGCAAGAGGGGGCTGGGGTGAGTGCCTGAGTGCCCTGCCAGCCCCTGTTCCCCCGTGCCAGGCTCACAGCAGCTGAGAGGGGACAGGGCTGACCCGGGGTCTGCCTTTCCCTGCCCAGCTGGGGAGTCCACACCAAACAGGCTGCTCCTCCTGACGTCCAGGGCTGCAGCCACGGTGGGAGGTGTCTCTGCCTGTGGCAGGGGGTGGTGCTGGGTGGGTTTAAGGTCCCTTCCAACCCAAACCCTTCCAGGAAATGAGCCGGGGAGCACAGGGATGCCTGATGGCCTCTGCAGCCTCCCACCAAACCTTTCTGCTTCCCTCCAGGTACCACGGGGAGAAGCTGCCAACCTTTGTGAGGAGGAAGAAGCCCCGTGGTGACAGCTCTGTTGTCATCTCCACCATCTACGATGAGCCTGAGCCCCAGGACATGGGTGACCAGCTGCTCAGGCGCCAGCCCCCCACGGCCATGAAGTACAGACAGGACATGGCCTTTGTCCGAGCGTCCCAGCCCGCCCTGGGCAGCCTCAGGGCCCAGCCACGCTGAGCAGGGGCTGTCACAGCCTTTGTCCTGCTCCCCAGTCCAGGCTGGCTCCTGGTCTGAGTGTAAGCAGGGTGGTTTTGTATTTATTTTTAACAAAAATTCAGATTTGTAATTAAAATCGCCACAGTGGGTTTTTTTTCCCCCACAAACTGAACTCTTTAAATGAAAGGAAATGGTGTTCTGTGTGAATGGAGAAGGATTTAGGGTGATTAACACTTACATTCATGCTGGGATCACCCAAATGTGTGCGTTGGTGAGGCTGAGGAAGCAGAACTGCAGCTGAGGGCGGCCTGGGAGGCAGGGAAGGACAAGTACGGGCAGGGCTCGGTAACTCCCGCTGCTGCCTGAGCGTTCCTCGGGCGTGGCCGTCCCACCGTGCCGGGAGGAGCTGCTGGGGATGAAAGGCTTGTCCTGGCACCCGCACAGGAATGCTCTGCTGTTCCCTGTGCCTCTGGGCAGCGGGGGCTTCCCAGGCTGCTCTGCCCTGTTCTCCTGGCCCGGGCACTGGCAGAGGGGACAGCTCTGTCCCACTGACCCAGTGCTGACAGGCCAGGCCCTGGGGATTTCCTTAAAGAGTGAACGGGAAAATCAGGGAGGAATTCCTCGTCCTGCATGCCAGCAGGGTGTAGCCACGTGGGAGTTGGGCTCTTCTCCTCGTCAATGAGTGGCAAGACATTGTCTTAAACGGCTCCAGAAAGGCTGAGGGTGGGCATTAGGAAGAATCTCTTCACAGAAAGGGGGATTAGACGTTGGGAACGGGCTGCCCAGGCACGTGGTGGAGTCACTGTGCCCAGAGGTGTTTAAGGAAAAACTGGGCGTGGCACTCAGTGCCATGGTGGTGTTTGGTCAGAGCCAGGGCTCGATAGCCTCAGAGACCTTTTCCAACCCAATTGATGCTGTGATTTGGAAAAAAACGGGGCTGGGGCTGTGCTGGAGCGACAGGAGCCGGCGCCGGGACTCGAACCCGCGACCCTCGCCCTGAGTCCCGGGTTGGAGTCCCGGGCTGCGCGTCCCCCCGGCCGGCAGGGGGCGCTGTGGCAGCGGCGGCCGCTCCTTGCCCGGAACGCGGCGCTCGGGGCGCGCGGGCAGCCGGACCCACAGCGGGGGCACCGGCGGCGGTGAGCGGCCTGCGGGATAACCGGGATAACGGGGATAACGGGGGGTAACCGGGATAACGGGGGGTTAACAGGGGATGGAGCGGTCTGGGCAAGCAGGGGAGGTGGGAAGGAGAAAGCAGGAGCGGGGAAGGACCGTAAGGGGGAAGAAGGGACACGAGGGGAGCTCGGGGACAAAGGCGGCGATGGGGAGAAGGGGGCGTGGGGATGCGTGGGCCCTGTAAGCGCAGATCGGATCCACAGTGGGTTGCTGTCCCGTCTGTCAGACCCTGTCCCTACAAACACAGACTGAGTTCTCACTGGCTGCTGTCCCTGTCCCCTGTCCCTGCAGACACAGGCCAGCCCTCACTGGCTGCTGTCCCTGTCCCTACAAACACAGGCCAGCCCCTCACTGGCTCCTGTCCCTGTCCCCTCTCTCAGATCCTGTCCCTGTCCCCTGTCTCAGACCCTGTCCCTACAGGCACAGCCCAGCCCTCACTGCCTGCTGCCCCGGGATAACGGGGGGTTAACAGGGGATGGAGCGGTCTGGGCAAGCAGGGGAGGTGGGAAGGAGAAAGCAGGAGCGGGGAAGGACCGTAAGGGGGAAGAGGGGACACGAGGGGAGCTCGGGGACAAAGGCGGCGATGGGGAGAAGGGGGCGTGGGGATGCGTGGGCCCTGTAAGCGCAGATCGGATCCACAGTGGGTTGCTGTCCCGTCTGTCAGACCCTGTCCCTACAAACACAGACTGAGTTCTCACTGGCTGCTGTCCCTGTCCCCTGTCCCTGCAGACACAGGCCAGCCCTCACTGGCTGCTGTCCCTGTCCCTACAAACACAGGCCAGCCCTCACTGCCTGCTGTCCCTGTCCCCTGTCCCTACAGGCACAGCCCAGCCCTCACTGCCTGCTGTCCCTGTCCCCTGTCCCGTCCCCTGTCCCTACAGGCACATCCCAGCCCTCACTGCCTGCTGCCCTGTCCCCTGTATCAGATCCTGTCCCTGTCCCCTGTCCCTGTCCCTGTCCCTACAGGCACAGCCCAGCCCTCACTGCCTGCTGCCCGTCCCCCCGGCAGGAGCATGCCCAGCATGGCCGAGGGCGGCCGCGGCAGCGCCCTGGCCTTTGGCCAGGTGGTGATTGGCCCCCCGGGCTCGGGCAAGAGCACCTACTGCCAGGCCATGGGCGCCTTCCTGGCGCGCCTGGGCCGCCGCGTGGCCGTGGTCAACCTGGACCCTGCCAACGAGGCCCTGCCCGGGCCCTGCGCCCTGGACGTGGCCGAGCTGGTGACGCTGGCCGACGTGATGGGCAGCCTGGGGCTGGGCCCCAACGGGGGGCTGCTCTACTGCATGGAGTACCTGGAGGCCAACGCCGACTGGCTGCGCGAGCGGCTGCGCCAGCTGCGGGGGCACTACCTGCTCTTCGACTGCCCCGGGCAGCTGGAGCTCTACACGCACCACCAGGCCCTCAGGAACGTCTTTGCCCAGCTGGCCAAGTGGGATTTCAGGGTAAGGAGGGGCTGGGCAGTGCCTGGCAGCACCACCAGCTGCAGGCTCCGTGCCCGGGGCGTGCTGGGCATGGGGGTTCTCGTGGCTGCTGCCCTCAGGGTGTTTGTGGCTTGTTGTGGTTTCATCAGGGGAGGACAGGGGTTTTGGTGGGAAGTGGTTTTATCAGGGGAGGAGGGGGGTTTTGTCACTCTAGGCCACGACAAAACACAATGTGAGCTCGCTGCTGCTCTCAAGATAAAAAGGAAGCTTGTTTTCTGGCTCCAGTATTTATGGATTTCCAAAGGTGGCAGTGGATTGGGGGGTGACAGTGGCACCTCTCCAGTGGCACTGGGCAAACCAACAGAGCAGCCCATCAGATTTCTCCTCCTCCATAAAAGAATGCAAAGCAATAAGTTATCTACAGAAAGCGTGTGAGAAAGTTTCCCACAAGGATGTAAACATCAGAAGGCTTAGAAAGTCTTAAAAAATCACAGCGACAGAATTTTGCTCTGTTTTATGCTGGGAGGGCCTGGCAAAAGAATGGCCTGTCAGGGCTTTTAGTGGGATTGGGAGCAGGAGTTCAGTTCCTTCCTCACACTTCACACAGAATCCCAGAATGGCTTGGCTGGGAGGGGACCTCAAAGCCCACCTCACTCCAGTCCATTCCGTGGGCAGGGACAACTTCAGGCTGTCCTGAACCCCTCCAGGGATGGCCCAGGGACACCTTCCACTGGCCCAGGGACACCTTCCACTGGCCCAGGGACACCTTCCACTGGCCCAGGGAGCTCCAGGCTGCCCTGAACCCCTGCAAGGATGGGGCAGGGTTCTGCAGGATCCTCCCCCAGCCTGGCTGTGTTCACCCAGCATGGGCTCTGTGAGTGCTGGGAGCCTTGGCACTGCCCTGAGGGTGCAGGAGCCTTGTCCCTGCCCCTGTGCAGCCCCAGCAGGGCCCTGCAGCCCGTGGGATGAGCTCTGGGCTCTTGCACAACGGGAGCTGCAGGTGAGAGCAGCCCCGAGCTGCTGACGCTGCGCTTGCTGTGCCACACCAGCCACAGCAGCAGCGTGCAAACCCGGCTGCTCTGAGCAAGAAGGGCAGCTTCATTTGCCTGAGAATGTCACTGGGAATGTGCACATTAGAGCTGATTTTCATTGGAGTAAATGGACACGGGATTGGAGTTGCTAAAATAAGACATTGCCAGGGCTGGCTCTGCTCTGCCTGGGAGCCCCAGACTGGCTGGGTTCTGCTGCTGTGACTCAGCCTCAGAGCCCTGCCTTGGAGTGGCTGCCCCAGCTCTGGGACCACATTGTTACAGCCACACAAAACGCAGGGAATCAAGGTGCTCGTTAGTGTAATTATTAATTATTACTGCGAACCACGGGGGACTCTCCCAGCAGAAGGTGGTGTGCTGCAGGTCCTGCTCTTCAGGGGGCCTGGGGAGAGCTGTGCTGCTCAGGAGGGGAACTGCCCCAGCTCCGACCCCGAATCCCTGCAGAGTTCAGACAGATGTGGAAACTTCAGAGGGAGAAACCCTGAGAAAAGGGGGGCAGCTGCAGGTTGAGTTCCTTGTGGTGCTGTTGGTGGAGCTCTAAAAGCCCCCCCAGAGCCCTGCCCTGGCTCTGAAGCCATGCTGGTCCCTGGGAATGTGACATAGACACTTCAGGGATATGTGTTCAGTGTGGGGCAGAGAAGGCTCCAGGGAGAGCTCAGAGCCCTGGCAGGGCCTGAGGGGCTCCAGGAGAGCTGCAGAGGGACTGGGGACAAGGATGGAGGGACAGGACACAGGGAATGGCTGCCACTGCCAGAGGGCAGGGCGGGATGGGAGACTGAGAATTGGGAATTGTTCCCTGGGAGGGGCTGGGATGGAATTCCCAGAGCAGCTGTGGCTGCCCCTGGATCCCTGGCAGTGCCCAAGGCCAGGCTGGACAGGGCTGGGAGCACCTGGGATAGTGGGAGGTGTCCCTGCCATGGCAGGGCTGGCACCAGGTGAGATTTCAGGTCCCCTGTGACCCAAACCAGCCCAAGGTTCAGGGGGTGGGAGGTTGTTTCCCCAGGTGGTGCAGCCAGGCCTGACCAGGCTCTCCTGTGGGCCCTTCCAGGCTGCCCCACGAGCAGGGCTGGGCAGCTCACAGCTCTGACCCTGTGTCCCTTTGTGCCCTCGCTGCCCAGCTGGCTGCCGTGCACCTGGTGGACTCCCACTACTGCACAGACCCTGGGAAGTTCATCTCCGTGCTCTGCACCTCGCTGTCCACCATGCTGCACGTGGAGCTGCCCCACGTCAACGTCCTCTCCAAGATGGACCTGATCGAGCGCTACGGGAAGCTGGGTGAGCAGCTCCAGAGCCACGGCCTGCTCTGGGGGGAAAGGAACCTCAGCCCCCATCTCTTCTCCCTCCCTGAGCCACCTCCTACCAGCCAGGGTGGCTCAGGGCTCCATTCTGGCCTTGCCTGCCAGGGTCTCCGAGCCCCTGCCAGGGCTCTGAGACATCCAGGGCATCCAGAGAGAAGCTCTGGGTTCTGACAAGAGGAGAGTGGGGTTGGGCTGTGCCAGGTGCAGATCAGCTGTGTGAGGATGGGGCTGG